GCATGTGTGCCATGGCATGCATATGGAATAGAGAACACGTTTTAGTTCTTCCACCATGTGGGTTTCAGGGATGGAACTCAGGTCATCAGCAGCTGAGTCATCTTGCTGCCTTTTCTTTCTCTCTCTCTCTCTCTCTCTCTCTCTTTCTTTCTCTCTCTTTCTGTCTTTCTTTCTCTTTCTCTCTTTCTCTCTCTCTCTTTTTCTTTCTCTTTCTCTCTTTTTCTTTCTTTCTTTCTTTTTTTCTTTTCTTTTCTTTCTTTCTTTCTTGACTTATTTTATGTGTGTAAGCATTTTGCCTGCATGAATATGTTCTCTGTGTTAATGCAGAAGACATCAGATCTCTGAGCTGCAGTTGATGTTGTGAGCTGCTATGTGGATACTGGGAACTGAATGTGGTTCTCTGCAAGAGCAGCAAGTGCTTTTAACCAAAGTTGTATCTCACCAGCCCCACTCCCACTCCTACTACCTCACCTTTTCTTTTTTAACATACTTATGTGTATGCAGGTGTATACACCGTAATGTGTGTATAAACCTTAACTCCCTGGGTAGTCAAAGCTCTGTGTGAAGTTGAACAGCAGAGTTTTCCTCTTCCAGGTAGCTTAAGGTACATTCTTCCTTAGAACCTTTAAATTTATCTGACCCCAAAGGGAGGCCTTTTCTCAGGTCTCTCAAGAAAGAGTTCTAAGACTGGCATGGGGTTTTTTGTTTGGTTTGTTTTTTCTTGGGGGGGGGGGTTGAGACAGGAATTCTCTGTGTAGCACACTGTTCTGGAATTATAGACCAGGGTGGCCTCAAACTCAGAGATCTGTCTCCTCTGCCTTCCAAGTGCGGGATTTAAGGTGTACACCAGCACCACCTGACGAGAGACCCAGTCAAAAAACAAAAAAAGAATTCTAGAGCATGTTGGTACAGGCCTATATCTTAGTATTAAGCAGGACTGCTTTGAGGTCAGGGCTGGTCTTGGCGATCCTGTGTCAAAAAAAAAAAAAGTTGGGGTACAGAAGTTCTGCAGTGGAGTGCATGCTTAGCAAGCAGGAAGTCTGGGTTTAATCCCCAGTACCTCATCCTTAATCTAATAAAATGATTGCTAGAATAGAATCTTTGTCTCTCCTTTTGTTATTGCAGTACCGGTGATGGAATTTAGGGCCTTATATATGGTAGGCAATCATTATATCATGATCTATTTCTCCAGCCGCTAGAGCGAGTCTTCCCTCATACTAGGGATAAGCCCCTAGTCTTAAACATAAAAGTAGTATCATTGATCTATGTCCCCAGACTTCTTTTTACTCTATTTCTTAAGACAGGGTCTTAGCCGGAAGGTGGTGGTACACGCCTTTAATTCCAGCACTCAGGAGACACTCAGTAGGTGAATCTCTGTGTTTGAGGCCAGCCTGGTTTACAGACTGAATTCCAGGACGTCCAGGGCCACACAGGAGAAACCCCGTCTTGGGGGAAAAAAGAAAAAGAAAAGGAATAAAAAAAAAAGACAGAGTCTCGCTGTGTAGCAGCACATACCTTGTAAGTCCTCATGCCTTAGCCTTCTGAGTACTGAGATTACAGGCCTTAGCCACTGGGCCCAGCTAGAAAGTCTTCAAGTACCTACCTTTAGCCAGGTTTACATCTTCAATCCCAGAATGCAGGAGGCAGAAGTATGTGGTTATCTTGTTAATAGCAAGGCTATGCTGGTCCCATTGTGAGTTCCAAGCCAGCCAGAGCTACAGTTTTGTTGTTGTTGTTGTTTTTTCAAGAAAGTTTTTCTGTATAGTATCCCTGTCTGTTTTGTCACTTTGTAGACCAGGCTGGCCTTGAACTCAAAGAGATCTGCCTGCCTCTACCTCCCTAGTCCTGGGATTAAAGGTGTGTTCCACCACGTCCTGCTTAAGATTTTTTTGCAGTACTTGTTTCTAAGCCACATCCCTTTCTACATTTAAAATAACAAAGACAGCCATATATGATCCTACTACCATGTATGTCCTGCACTGTCTTTTACTACCTCCAAGTTAAAGAAAGTGAACCCAGCAGGATTAAATTTTTAGTTTGTCTTTGCTCTCTATTAGCAGGGGAGCCCAAAGAAGTGTGAAGCTGGAGAGGCAGAGCCACCAGCTGCCACACAGCCTCCAACCTCAGAGACGCAGAGCTCTCATCTACCAGAATCAGAAAGGACTCCTCACACTGTGTAAGTAAGGAGACAACAAGTGTGGGATCGGTCTTTGCTCGCTAGGGTGTCTTTGATTCCGCAGTCTTGGTTTCCTTTTAAAATATAAAGGCAGAGTTTTATGTGGACATAGGCCAGACTTTAATCTCACAATGGTAGGGCCTTAACTCCCAGAACACTAAGGTAGTTTGGAAAATAGTGATCAGGGCATAAGAAAAACAGACTCTTATATCTGAGCCTAAGAACTCAGTTTAATAGTAAGGTTCTGAAAAGTAAACATGATGATTTGTACCTGCAATCCCATTTTCAAGGTAGGTGCAAGAGGTACATGGCAAATTTTACATTAGCAAGCTGAAATCCTGCTGAAAAATCAATAAATTGGTACACAAGAATGCTCAGGAGGATGAGACAAGAATTGTCACAGGTTTGAGGTCAGACTGCTTGACATAGCAAGTTCTAGGCCAGTGCATATCAAGCCCTTATATAAACTAGGCCTAATGGCACATGCCTTTAATCTCAGCACTCTGGAAGTAGAGATAGGCAGATCATTGAGTTAGAGGTTAATCTGGTTGATACAACAAGTTATCAAATTATAACAGCTAGGGCTATATAGAGACCTTGTCTCAAAAACAAACAAACAAACAAACAAACAAAAAACAGAAAAGGAATGTCACATAAACCTGAGCGTAGTAACACATGCATTTGGAGACAGAGGCAGGCAGATTTTGAGTCTAGGGCTAGCCTGGACTGCGAAGTAATACTCTGATCGTAAAACAGAACAAGCAAAAGAGAAGACTAACTGCACAGGCGCGTTCCTTTCCCTGGTGGTTGCATGTTACTTCGTTAAGCAGTTTGTGCAGTCAAGAGCAGAGTACTGCAGATAGGAGGCTGTGGAATCAGCAGTTAATTTATAACTTTAATAGTAAAGTTTACTCAACTGGCCTTGGTGGCACACGCCTGTAATCCCAGCACTCAGCGAGGCAGAGGCAGGCGGATCTCTGAGTTCGAGGCAAGCCTGATACACAAAAGCAAGTCCAGGACAGCCAAGGCTACACAAAGAAAAAACCTGTCTCAAAAAACAAAAACAACAAAAAGGGACACTTCATTCTTGCAGTTAATGTAAACTTTTTAGTACTTAAATTGTGAAAGGAATATTCATGTCTAATTAATTTTATAGTTGAGTAGATACTCGATATTCTGAGCTTTGTATTGTAAATTAAGTTATGAAGCAAGCCAGGTGTCATATGCACACCCCAGTACTCTCCTACAATCCCAGTGTTGGGGAAGCTGAGGCAGAACAGTTGAAAACTCAAGGCTAGCCTGGGATAAGTGCCAAGAGTCTGCCTCACAAAAGAAAAGGAAAAAGGGGCATGATGGTGCACACTCAGGAGATGGAGATGTCACCCTTGGCTTCCTAGTAAGCTTCAAAGCCAACCTGCTATGGTGAGAACCCTGCCTTTAAATTTTTATGTATTTATTATTTACTCAGAATTCTTGGCTTCAAAGTCTGAAACTCTTATGAAAAATATATTGAAAGAGTAAGATTGCTTCCCTTTTAAACATCAGGAATTGTGGATTGCTTTGAGTAATGTCCCATTCTGTATTGATTTGTGTTTTTAAATTCTGCTAGTAGTGTTATCTCCTTCAGTGTAATAATCTGATCATTGAAACTTGTGGTGGGTAAGTGGCGTGATCTCATTTTCTTGTGACTACTAATGGTCTAACGCTCTGCTGTGGGAGGTTGCTGCAGTCCATGTTCATATTCTTGCCTCTACTGCCATCTTGTGGCTATTATATATTTTGGTTCAGAAACCAAAAGCTTGCTCCCTTTGAAAAGGTTTAGTTTTTCTGTTGTGAGTCAAGGTCATTATCCTTTGAGAAAGGGTTTTTCTTCTAAGAACATAAAATGAAACTTCATAGTCTCTGGAAGGTATTTAGACTCCCCAGCTTACCCCATCTTTGGTAAGGCAGGGTGAAATCTCCCTTTGTATGTCACACAAAATAATACGACCTTTCCTGTTCCATTTCTATGAAGGTACAGGACAGCATGACCTTGAACCCTGGCACTTTGAAAGAGGTTGGTCATACCTAGTGTGGTAGAATGTTTAATCCTAACACTGGAGGGGGGATCAGAAGCAGGGGGAGAGGCAAAGGTAATTGAGTCTTTGAGTTCAAGGCCAGCCTGGTCTACAGAATGAGCTCCAGGACAGCCAAGGCTATACAGAAAAACCTTGTTTTGGAAACCAAAAAAGGAAAGTTGTTCACACCTTGGAGAACTAACTGCTCCAGTGAAGCTTGAAAAGTAGTTGTGTCTGCAGAGTTCCTTGTACACCTTTAAATGGTTAGTCTGTAAGACTGCAGCAAGAGAGGGGCTTTGGTTATTGTTTGGAAATGCCTTTATTTCTGGATTTTTTTCCATTCAGTTCTGGGGCATATGAAGATTAGGGCTATATCCACAGTATTTTCACTGCTAGAAGAGCTTTTTTAATATCATTTTATGGCAAGGATAATCCAGTCATATTGATTTTGACAAGGTGATAGCCTGGGCAAATACTGAAATTGTCAGTTGTCTTTCTTGATCTGTGGTAGTAATTCTGTTCAGCAACATAACAAAAAGATGTATTCAAAGGCCTAAGCCAAACAGCTGTTCTCACAAAGATTTTGTGAATAAATTTTTGAGGTTTTCCTACATTTCAACTGATTGATTGCCTGCATTCCTCATCTTAGCAGGCTGGCAGCCCCTAGAGCTCTTGCCAACTTAAAAACTAGGAGCATTTAAAAATACTAAATCAAAAGAAGATTGGTCCTTTTCCTCATCCGGGGACGGTGCTTAGAGGTGCTCAGAATGGTCCAGAGTTTGACATACCATCGTAGGCTCTTCTATAATACAGCCTCTAACAAAACTGGATTGTCTCAAACTCCTGACAACAGGATTCTTTACTTGTGCACCAAGAAGGTTGAGAAAGCACCTAAACCTGCATGCAGTGTGTGCCCAGGCAGACTTGGAGGGGTTTACACTGTGAGGCCTAAAGTCCTTATGAGATTGTCTAAGACGAAGGAGCACATCAGCAGTGCCTATGACAGTTCCATGTGTGTACGACAGGATCAAGTGGGCTTTCTTATTGAGGAGCAGAAAATTGTTGTGGAAGTGTTGAAGGCGCAAGCACAGAGTCAGAAAGCAAAATAAATAATGCAGCTTTTTTAAGTAATAAAAGTCAAGGCTTGGTCTATGAAAGAAAAAAAAAGAACCTTGGTGGTGTAAATCTTGGTTTTCTTGCCTATCTCAAAATGACATGACTACAAAACAACAGCAAAGTATTAGGAAAACGTTAAAATTTACTTCCAGGACCATTTTTACTCTGGTTGGTTCTGATTGTGTCTGAGGTGCTCTAAATGTAAGAAATGAACCTTTAAACCAGGCACACAGAGGCATGAGATGGGGTGCGGGGAGGGCATCATTCCCTGAATGTGAAGACAGCCTAGTCTACATAGACAGTGAAACTTTCTCAAAAGAGTAATAGTAGTATATTTTTTTTTTCCTTGCTCAGAGCAAGGGTTTGTGAGACCTCAGTCCCAGTTAAGTCAAGCTGTGTTCCAAAGTCTAGTCTTCCCCTGTAGTAGGTACAACAGAAATCTCCTCATACAGCAAAAAATAATACTGCGTTATTTTTATGTTAAAATAACAGAGAACACATCTTTAATCCTAGCACTCAGGAGGCAGAGGCAGGTGGATCCCTGTGAGGCCAACCTAGTCTGCAGAGGAAGTTGTAAGACAGCTGTACAGAGAAACCCTGTCTTGAAAAACAAAACAAACAGTAGAGGGTCAGGGTGAGAGAGAGCTCGGCTGGTGAAATGATTACTGTAAGCTTAAGGACCTACATGAAAAGCGTGGTGGGCACATGTGCACATGTGACACACGCATAAAAACGAAACCTATTCTACTTGCAGCAACAAAAACAGTAGAGGGTGGGTTAGCATAGTGTACACCTGTGTTCCCAGGTCTTTTTTTTTTTAATTACTTTTCAAAGGGTAGGGTATAGTAAAAGGTAAAAGGTGGGTGCAGTTTTTTTCATGGGCAGCAGTGAACTCATACACCGGACCTGTTGTAAACTCAGCCTTCTGTACACACTAATCTATTGAAAATAACCTCAGAGTCTTGATGCTATGATCATTTGTCTTTGTACCTTGAGAAAAGGAAGGAAATGTATTTTTAAACCAGTATGGAAATTTGATGCTTTGCTCCTCAGAAGTGCCAGTATCCCAAATAGTACTTTTTTTTTAACAAACAAACAAAAAGCATAATTTGTCATCAGAGTTTGCTCACTGAGAAGTGTGTATGTAAGCATAAACCCTCCAAATCATACTATCCTTGTTTGTCTTGGAACTAAGGGGCTCTGAGGATATCAGGTTTCAGTATTGTTTACTAAGTTTTCATTGGGATCCTTAGCATTTTAGGATTTTCTGTACTAACTAAAGTTTAAACATATGCTTATAGAAATTGCCTTTTCCATTAGTTTTTCTTAAGCCATTCATAGTTTAATGTGATGTTAATGTTTAAGTTTGAAGGAGTTCTTATCTTCTGAAAATAGCATCTTTGGAATTATTCTTGGGTCCTGCAAAATTCATCAAAGGGAAATAGAAGAGGCTGGAGAGACAACGCAGAGGTTAAGAGTCTGGTCCCCAGCACTCACATAGTGACTCATAACTATCTGCAACCCAGTTCCAGGAGTTTGAGTGCCCTCTTCTGACCTCTGTGGGCACCAGGCACACACCATACACGTACATACATGCATGCAAGCAAAAACTCATACACATAAAATAATCTTTTTTCCTTTCCTTTTTTTTTTTTGAGATTATAATTACATTATTTTCCCCTTTTTCTCCCTCTGCAACCTTCCATATACCCTTCCATGCTCTCTCAAATTCATAGCCTCTTTTTCCATAAATTGCTGTTACATGTGTTTATGTATGTGTGTAGGGAAATAGATGGAACAAATCTTTTATGTTATCAAAACCAAGGACAAAGTAGGATTATTTAAAGAGGTACAGCCAGGTAGTGGTGGCACATGCCTTTAATCCCAGCATTCAGGGGGCAGAGGCAGTGAATTTATGTGAGTTTGAGGCCAGCCGTGTCTACAGAGTGAGTTCCAGAATAGCCAGAGCTACTCAGAGAAGCCCTGTCTTGAAAAACATAAATATATAATTTTCCAGTCAAGGCCAGATGTGATGGAGCATAGCACTCAGGAGTAGAGGCTGGAAGGTCCCTTTGAGCTCAAGCCCTGCATAGCCAGTTCCAGGCCAACCATACACAGTAAGACCCTTTCTCAAAAGAGAAAAGAAGTCCAATAATAGAAGCCAGACCTGGTGGTTCTTGTGGTAATCTCACTATGAGGAGGATTACTGATTTGAAGTAACCTTGGCTAAAAGTGAGTTCCAGGTAGGCAACCTTTACCTATTAAGACTTCTGGGGCTGGAGAGATGACTCAGAGGTTAAGGGCATTGGTTGCTCTTCCAGAGGTCCTGAGTTCAATTCCCAGCAACCACATGGTGGCTCAAAACTATCTATAATGAGATCTGGTGTCTTCTTCTGGCCTACAGGAAGAACACTGTGTACATAATAAATAAATCTTAAAAAAAAAAAAAAAAGACTTCTGGAATTAAATAATAATAACTTTCAGTAACCAAAAATTCTTCCAACAAATCACTTTTAGAGAGATGTTTTAACAGCAGAAAGTATTTTAGAACAATCAATGGACATTCTGTGGGATAATGTTGTATGGACTCAAGCAGGGCTTGGTGGTGCATGTCTTTAATCCCAGCACTTGGGAGGCAGAGGCAGGTGGATCTTTTGAATTCGAGGCCAGCCTGGTCTACAGAGTGAGTTCAGGACAGCCAGGGCCATTACACAGAGAAACCCTGTCTCAAACAAAACAAAACAATGTGCTTTTGTATGTTTGTCTGTTTGTGTGTATATAGTGGGGACTCTTTAAAATAGAGGCCAGATGCATGGGACCCACTGCTCACATATGTATGAAGAAACGGAGAAAAACCTTTTAGATCAAGAAATGTTTATTAAGTATCTACTTGTTACCACAATTACATTGTAATTAAGAAATACATATATCTATTTGTGATAGGCCCTGACCTAGGGACCAAGGCACACAGTTCCTACTCCTGAAGAACTTTGTGGGGTAGAGGTAGGTGGCAGGTAACCTAGTGATTTTGATTGTTACTCAGAGTGATAAGGGCATTGTCAAAACCTGTCATCTCCATCACTGAACATTTTAGCATCAGAGGAAGTATCTACCCTTTGAATTAAAAAAAAAAAAAAAAAAAAAGCTTCAGATTTGTCACCTCCAGAGACTTTGCTGCCTGTACTTCTGTTTCCTACATACTCTTACCTAGATTTACAGCAGCATCCAAGCCAGACTCCTCAGAGCTATCACTGTCCCTAAGGTAGGTATTATTATTGGCAACACTAGCAGAATATAGGAGAGGATATGAAATTTGGTTGCTGTTAGGATATATTTAAAAATGTCACATACAACAGATCTGATATGAAAGAGATTTATTGGATGGAGGTGGGGAAAGGGAGACATGGTGGGGACCCCCAGGAGAGAAACAGAGGCAGAGAAAACCGAAGAGAAGAGAGAGGGAGGGTGCCCAGGAAAGGGAGAGAAACCAAAGCAGAGAGAGAGTGGTGGGAGTAGCAGACCAGTTATATCTGAAGCACCTGGCTGAGGTGGTGGCATAGAGTGCTGTCAGGACTCTAAAGACACTATCACACAATTGTAAAAGCTAGGGCCAGTCTGATTCTTGGGTTCACTTTTTTTAACCCCCATGTAGGCTTTTGCCTTCACTAATGAGCAGACAGGGTTCACTATGTAAAAGGGAGCGTTTATTAAAATAATGTATAAACATCACTTAGCTTAAATTTTTGGCATGTAAGTTTAAGATTTTAAGCAGCACAGAGAAATTTTCATTCTTTTCTAAAAGCTCTGAAGTTCAGTGTGGTGGCACACGCCTCTAATCTCGGCACTCTGGAGGCCAAGGCAGGAGGATCTTAGTTCAAGGCCAGCCTGGCTCACCCAGGGAGATCTTTCGGACTGGTTCTTAGCTGCTTGTCCTTCCCTCTCCCCCTCAGCTTTGCATCTCTCCCTGCTTACCCTGGGAGCGCTTTTCTGACCTCTTGTATGTCAGACATACAGCCTGTTGGGAATGCTGGATTTTCTAGTACTAGTTACTGGCCTGAGAAGGCTTGATTTCCCCTTTCTGTCACTTGTGCCCCTGATCATCTTGATTTGATTTTTTTTTTTAACCTCGTATTGGGATTAGAAGTTAGGAATGATGACAGAAAAGTAGGGAGATAGTTTATCTGAAGGAATCTCTGGATTTCTTTGACTGAATTGGGTGCTAACTTGTGAGAGTGGGTTACAGTGTGCTTTGTCAGGGAAAAAGAGCTGAGTACATTTCAAGCAGTAAATAAGCTTCTTGAGTCTCTTCAGTGTTTTGTTGCCATTTCTGGTTTTTGTTGGGGGTTTTTTGGCTTTAGGTTTGTTGTTGTGTTGTTTTGTGACAGGCTGGTCCCAAGCCTGTGGCAGTCCTCCTGCCCATTCTGGTTGTAGGCAGGAATGTATCTTTTGTTAAGATATTTTTCCCACTTCATAGTTAATCTAGTGAAGATGCCTATGATTACTTTTTGCTTGTCTCTCAAACTCATTGTGCTCAGCTTACCTCATCCTCCTCTGCCCCACGTAACACCTCTCTCCCGACTGTCTTGTCTGCTTCAGAGGCCTTCAAGCTTTAGCTACCCAAGGTCCGCTTGCCTTTTCCCTATTGGTGTAGGCAATCCTGGGCCGAGTGGCCGTATTAAAGACTGGAAACAGTCCTCTGTTACTCTTCAGGCACCCACCCTTTTCTCTCTTTTGGAAAATAAACTCTCCCAGGCTTAACCACTTTCCTCTATCTTCCCTCGAAAGCTGCTTACATGTGATTATTGCCAGAGGTGAGCAGCAAGTTAGTTATCCTGGCTGGGAGAATGGTGGACACATAATAAGAAAGTTGCTGTCTCGGTGTTCTGAGGGTGGAAATGGAAGCTTTCGTCATCTTTAAAACTATTTCTACTTTAGCTTTGTTTTTACTTTTATTAATCATTTCTCATTCCCAACTCTGTTGTTTCCCCTCACT